AGATCTTGAAAGAAGCTAATTTAAAATTAAATTTAGCAAAATATTATTTCTTCTTAAATAGTATTAAATTTTTAGGACATATTATAGGAAAAGATGGAATTAAAACAGATAAACAACTTATTGAAAAAGTAAAAATTTTCTTACGCCTACTATCCTTAGACAACTTCGAGGATTCTTAGGATTAGCCTCCTATTATAGAAAATTTATCCAAGGATTTTCAAAAATCGCTAAACCCCTTAACCAACTTCTCAAGAAAGATGAACTCTTTAACTGGACCACAGAGTATAAAGAAGCCTTTAATACCCTTAAACAATATCTTATTACTAGTCCTATATTACGATATCCAGATTTTGACTAACCTTTCTACATACATACCGATATATTAGCCTCAGGTTTAGGAGCAGTTTTATCTCAATTAACTGAAGATAAAAAGAAATATGTTGTAGCTTATGCAAGCAGAAGTCTAAACAAAGCAGAACAGAATTACTCAGCTACAAAACTTGAATACCTAGCTGTAGTATGGGCTGTTGAGCATTTCTATCAGTACTTAGGAGTTAAACCTTTTTATCTTGTTACTGACCATGCCGCTTTAAAATGGTTAAGAACTTCTAAATTAAAAAGAAGACGAGCTAGATGGATTATGCGATTAGAACCCTATAACTTTACAATAATCCATAGAGCCGGAAGAAAGCATAGCAATGCAGACTCATTATCTAGAATATATGAAGCATCTGCAAATTCTATGGACGTTGATGATGATGATTTACCCTTAGAAGAATTGACTTTACAATTAGCTCTCAGCCGACAACTAGCATGAATTGAATCTCTATTATACCCAGATTGTTGTATTCAAAGATTAGCAGATATGCTAAAGCCTTCGTTACCTCCTTTAGCAGACCAAGTGACTGAACTTTATACCCGTCTAGAAGTATTAGCTAATGGATTTAGATGTGATAGTAGACCTCTTTTTAATTGGAACTATATCTTCACACTTAGTAGAAGATTTAGAACTATTAAAGGAAAAAATAGATATCCTTTAAGTTGGACAGGACCTAATACCCAGTGTTGGTGTAGAAATATTCTATTAAAAAATAGAAGTCAATATTCTCAGTGCCAACGAGACTGTCAAATATAGAAAACATTAAAGAAAGCATCTTTAAGAGAATTAGTTAGATGTTGCCCTGAACAATTACCTACAAGCAAAAATAGTGATAATAAAGAAGAAGTTTATATGTTAACAACTATAGAAGAAGAAGAAACTGAAACTTTTTCTATTCCAAATGAGCATTATGAAGACATGCTTAATACTTTACAACTAACATTAACAGAAGGACTTACCCAGTATTTATGACCATATCAGGATATTGGATTTATATCTGAAGGAATCCACTATGAAGGACAGAAATGTACTTGGTATTATATTAAGCATATTAGTGCTAGACTATCTCAGAAATTTAACCATGGAGCCTGGTCTAGAGATTGGAAAGGACCAGTAGCACAATGTTGGTGTGGTGACAAATTATATTCACTTTGTGATGAGTGTCTTAAATGTTATAGTGATCTTAGATTATGGATGACTGTCAAAAGCTACCTAATAGAAGAAATTGCTAAGTGTTATTGGCCTACTCCAGACACAGGTGAAGAAGATGATCAAGATAACTTTGATCAAGACTTAGAATTATCCGAGTTTATTGAAGATAATATTACTCCATTCATGACAAATGAAGCTCCTAATCAGTATCTTTTGAAAAATTTTGATAACTTTAACTTTGATGAAGTACCTAATGATCCTAGTACTATTGATTGGGAAAGTTCAATAGCAGAAAGATCAGTAATAGAAGAAATACCCCTCTCATCTTACCTCATAGCCCAACCTTGGTGGTTACCTCCTTTAGAAACTCCTACACCATTAATGTATATTGAAAATAATAATTTCTCTGAATATTATCTTTGCAATATGGTTTGGTAGAAAGTAGTTAATCCAACAACATATTATTATTAAATTTTCTTTTCTTTTTATTTAAATTATATTATTTAGTTGGTAGAAGTATTTTATATTAATAGCCTTAAAAAAAAAAATAAAAATAAAAATTTTTTCTTACCTTGTATCATTTAGTTTAGCCTTTACTGGGCCTAGTAAATAAGGGAGACTAGGACAGTATAAAGCAAGGTTGGAGCTCTATTCACTTGATATAATTATATTTCTTTTGTTATTAGAAATCTGATGTTAAAGAAAATCTAGTTCAGGTTGTCAGTGTCCTTACAAGTTAATAAGATAGATTTAATCACTTATCAAAACATCAAAAATTTCTTGAAAACAGCAAATTTTCCTTTAAATTTTTCTAGAAATCAAAAGAGAAAATTAGAAACCCAAAGCAAATTTTATATCATCAAGAACAATTAACTTTACAAACATGATCGTAAAAGGAAGAAAGCACATCAGCTCCTTAAAGTAATTCAAAGGCATGAAGTAGAACCAATCATGTTTCTTCTCCATAACCATCCTATTAGAGCACATCTAGGAACAGACAAGATGTTTGAAAAGATTCATAGTAGATACTTTTGGCCTCAAATGTATCAACATATTAAAAAATATATACAGACCTGTGATACTTGCCAAAAGAGAAGAAAATATCGCACTCCTGTTCTTTGCAATCTATTTCAGTAGAATCACCTTTTCATCGAATTGGTTTAGATTTTGTTGGACCATTACCAATTACATCTCACCAGAATAAATATATTATAGTGGTGACTGACTATATGACGAAATAGTCTGAAGCAAGAGCTGTACCAAAAGCTAATGCCCAGGCTATTGTAAACTTTATTTATGAAGAAATAATCTGTCAACATGGATGCCTTTCTTATCTGCTTACTGATAGAGGAACACATTTTAACAACGACTTAGTAAAAGCACTCTCACAAAAATTTGAGATTCAACACTTACTCTCTACTCCATATCATCCACAAACCAATAGATTAGTAGAATGATTCAATAGAATATTGTGTAAATCTTTAGCAAGGTTAACTAGTCAAGGACAAGAATGGGATACTTTTATACCTTCTGTCTTATTTGCTTATAGAACCACTAAGCAATCAACTACCAAGATTACTCCTTTCTATCTTACATATGGAAGAGAAGTAAAGTTCCCTATATCCGAAATTGAAGATATTTTGGAAGGAAATATCTTAACTAGATTATTTTCTTTAATTAAAAATGTACCTGTAGAACAAGAATGAGCCAGAGCAAATATTAGAAAATCACAGCAACGTCAAAAGTTTTACTGAAACAAAAAGCATAAAAAAGTGAAACCTATCTTTCAAAAAGAAGATAAAGTTCTCTTATATGATGCTATGAGAGATAAACATTATTCTGGAAAGTTATTACCAAAATGGAAAGGACCATACTTCATTCACAATAGAGTTGCACCAGATGTTTATCAACTATGAACCCTAGAAGGAAATATTTTAGAAACACCAATCAACACATTGTTACTTAAGCAGTATTACGATAGAAGGTCGTGGAACCCCTTAGTTATTATCAATAATGAGCCAAACACATAGTTTTAATTTCAACTTTCACTATG